TATTTGCTAACTATGATATAAGCAATATGATGTAACTTTATTATTACATCGTCATCATATTGTGAATTGTTACATTGATAAACAAATTTTCAAGCTTTAAACTTGTGTGCTTGAATATAAAAGCAGACATTAGCCAAGCACAAGCAGGACTGCTCAAGCAGTTAACATCCCTTGGCAAAACAGCAAACAAAAATTCATGACTATATTTCCAATAAACATAAGTTATAAACTAACTGTGTCTATTAGCTATATGTCAAAATGATGGGTTACTGTAATAAAAGGGGAGAGGAAAAGATTTAAAATGATATACTGTTACGGCAAGCTGATTTGCTAGTGCAATAAGCAAGTCACATGATAAAATCTTCCTCCGCAGTCAAAACAAACCAATTTTAGTAATGTAGCTCTAATGTTAGAAAGGAAATTGTGACATTTGGTGACATTGGCGATAAGTGGTGACAGCACAAGATGTAAACAAAAGTCAACATTAGACATAGAAAAGATACATACAGCAGTGGGTGTTAATGAAATGTGCATAATTTAGACATATATTCAATCAATGAGACCTTTATTATTCAAACTAGGTAAAGTAAAACTTCACATCATACATCATGGATAAAACTATCCACTTTCATTAATAGTTCAGTTTAACGGTCTCTTGCCTTAAAATTCGTCTACCATCAATTTTCGACATAACAGTATGGTAATATACTATATATCTGTCTGTGTTATGTATGCATATACAAAAACTTGAACAGGCAACTCATTTATCACCCAGGTGATGTAAAAAAGATTGAAGTGCTTAAGGAATGACTTTACAAGTTTATGCTTAACAATCTGCCATAATAATAAGTATATTATAATTAGAGTCATGTTCGTTATAAACTATCATAGCATATTCACACAATATATTCACTTACTCTCAAGTAGCCCTGTTTCATACCAGGATTTCAAGCAGAGGCTTGCACGGACTTTCTTCTCATCCAACCGGTTGCGTACGGGGCTTATTGTATGTTTTGCTATTGAGAATACATGTTCACTTGGAACGCTTGTGGCTTGGGCAACGAGGAAGTCTCTTGCCATAAGCGCAAGCTTGACAAACCGTTTGTCCGTCATGCGCATCCTCCAGTAATCTAACGTTTTACACGTTTCTAGTGGAGTCATGAGATAATCGTTAAGCGTATTGCTTGTTTGATGTGCATCGGAACTGCGCCGCAGGCGCTGTAAAAAATAACTCCGTGATTCGACTGTTTCTGTTGATTGTTGTACACATTCCATATCTTCATTGCTCGCATACTTTTTATAGATGCCCTGTAATTGACGATGCATTGTCTGTTTCACTTCTTCACTATAGCATTCTGATTTAACATTAGGATCAAGCATGACAGATGCAGGGCATGCATTTTTTAATATCTATCCAGTATTCAGATATCTTATTATGCATTGCGATGGCAATGGCTTTCATATATTGATCATTAGTTTCTTGATTAGCAATGTCGTCCAGAATCTGTATTATGCCTGTAAACGACATATGCAAGTCACCCATAGTAGGGTAGGAGGATCCAGATAAAAGCTTGGTAGCTTCAGCAAACGGTTTGAGAATTGTTGAAATTGCGTTAGGTTAGCACTTATGTTGCAACATTATACCATCATATGATATTCACTTACATCAATCTCAACCCAATCTTCATCAGTTAGGTACATGGATTTCATCGATTTTGTGCTGGCAACTAAAATATCCGTCATTTCCCGAATCTCACGCGACTTTATGATCATATTATATGTGCTATTCCACCGAGTTGGCACATCAAGTTCCGGGACAAGGAACGGTTTGCCTTTCATTTCAAATATTCTTTTCAATTCCTCAAATGCTGGTTGAGACTTACGGATATGACTGGTGAAATTACGAATTTTTGTGATCGATGGTGCGGCTCTTTGCATTCCCTCCTTAACCACAAGATTGAGAATATGAGCCGCACAACGAAGATGTGAATTCATAATTATTATATTTTTCCGCCAACACTTTGGCCAGTTCCGAGCCAAAAAGAAAAGAAAAAATTACTTAAGGGAAAGAAAATAAAATCTGAAAAGCCTAACAGTTATTAACTGAACTTATTTAGAGCATGCTTGCTTTGAGCATATATCTGCTTCAGGTAAGCATGCTCTAAACACATTTGCTTCAAGCAAGCATGTTCTAAGCACATTTGCTTCAAGCATATTCTAGGCAAGCATGCTCCCAGCACATCTGCTTCATATTCAGGCAAGCATGCTATAAGCACATTTGCTTCAAGCATATTCTAGGCAAGCATGCTCCAAGCACATTGCTTCAAGCAAGCATACTCTAAGCACATTTTCAAGCATACTCTAGGCAAGCATGCTATAAGCACATCTGCTTCAAGCAAGCATACTCTAAGCACATTTGCTTCAGGCAAGCATGCTCTAAGCACATCTGCTTCAAGTAAGCATACTATTTTTTTGTTAACGAATATGAATAGCGATTATCATCGTGGGTGTCAAGCGTCTGTAATGTAAAGGAGAGACATT